GCTTCTGCTCCGGACTGGCAGGGCGCCGGCACGCTGTTCGTATGTGGGGCGCCCCTGTGTGTGCCCGTGTTAGGGATTACAGTTGCTGGGGTGTTAAAGATTTGCTATCTCCATTCATTTGAAGTCATCGATAATAAGCCCATCGCGTGCTAACACACTTGGGTGAAAAATCACTACTTTCTGAAACGCAGTTGTAAGAGGGTGGCATTGCTCTGTTCTTGCAGATCTGGGTGTCTGGCTTCCTAGGCGCCCCTGTTGCTGCCATGGTGTGGTTTGGGGCATGTGCGTCCCACGGAAGCTGCTGGAAACGCACTCTGACAGCGCCCGTGGCTCGTTTCTGGTGGCACCAGACAGACCTCAGCCTGTGGCACTTCCTCCAGCATAGCTGTGACTGGCATGTGGCAGCTGCCAATGACGTTTCATTGTATAATTAAAAAACAAAAAACCATGTCCTTGTCGGAAAAGCCGTCAAGCTTGGATAGCTGCCCAAAGATAAAAAGCTTCCAGAATCGTCACAGTCTCTTAAAAGTGTAAATATTATCGTGGGCAAGAAGGACTGTTCACTCTTGGAGTGACAGGCTCACCGGGTCCTGTTTTGACAGGACGCCTGCAGGAGCCCCCGCGGGTGTCCCGTGAGCGTGCCCTCCCCGGAGGGGACCTTCGTGCTCCCGCGGGGGCGGATGGGCTCTGTGGACACTTGTGATTTCTTCGCTGAGAACGTTGCAGCCACCAGGACGTGGGCACGTAGTAAGATCCAGGCCGGGCCCGGGCTGCGTAGGGTGTCCGCGAGTGCGCGGAGCTGACGGCAGGCGCTGGCAGGGGGCGCCTTCCCGCGTGGGCCTCGCGGCGGGACGTGTGCAGGGCACTTGAGTGTGCAGTTGGCGCATGGGTGTGTCCCGCCAGAGCAGGAGCCACCGTGGTAGCCGGAGCCACAGGGACGGGGCCGCCGCTGGTCAGACGCCCGCGGAGGGACGGGCAGCAGGCGGGGGCCTCGGACGGGCCTCGATCCCGGCCTCTCTCTGGCCAGCTAGACCCCGGCGTCCCCAAGGTGGCTCTGCAGATCTCAGCACCGCCCTCCTTACAGATTCTCGTTTCTTTTCTTTTAATTTTTAAAAATATTTACTTACTTCTTTTTGAGACAGAGAGGGAAAGAGAGTCCCAAGCAGTGTCCGAGCTGTCAGCGCAGAGCCCAGCATGGGGCTCAAACCCACGAACTCTGACGACATGACCTGAGCCGGAGTCAAGAGTCAGACGCTCAACTGAGCCTCCAGGGCCCCCCCCCACCCCAGACTCTCATTTCTGAAGTCAGTGTGTCACGTGTGTCCTGGGCCCGGGCCCACTGCCAGGAGAGGGGGGGCTGGCGTGTTTGAGCTCGGCGGGCAGAACAAGTGATTACACGTCCTCGCTCAGTGCCCGTGGCGGGTGCAGCCTTCCAGGAGGACAGAGAGGGGCCCGGGGCAGAGGTGTGGGAGGCGGAGGGGCGGATGCACTCCGCGCAGCCTGGGGGCGGGGAGCGCAGCACTGATGGAGGTCATGTGGGAAGGCAGCCTCCAACTTTTGCACGTATCAGAGACCCCCGCGCCCAGCCACCAAGACGGACCCGGAGCCTCTGCCCCCCGCCCTCGGCACCACCGTGTACCTGAGTGCTGCCCAGCATCTCCTGGGCCCTGAGGACCCTTCCAGCAGCTCAGTGGGCTGGGCGGGCAGCCGGGAGGGGAGACCGGAGCCAGGGCTCGGTGGTCAGGAAGTGCACACAGATTGTAAGGGGGATACAGGTGGAGAGTTTGTCTAAAGTTAGCTCTTCTGTTTTGAGGCATCCAAAGTGTCTTTTTTTTTTTTTTTAATGTGTATTTGGCACTCCCCTGAATTCTGAAATAGAGTTTAGCACGATTCCTTTTTTACAGCAGTGGAAGCCAAGGTTTTCTAGTCGGACTGACTCAGCTGGAATCAGAACACCTCCTGCGGGACCAGCCAGGGCCCCTGGTGGCCGGCGAGTCCCCCCCACTCGGGGGCAGGGAGGTCGGGCCAGCAGCTTGCATCCTCCCAGCCTCCTCGGAGCCTCTCTGAGTCTTGGCCGAGCCGTGTCCCTGGAATGTCAGGCTGTCTGCAAGTGATAGAGGCCTGGAAACTTTTGTTCCATTGAACGTTGCCAAGGAGGTATACTTAGCCACCGAGTGGAGGCCAGGAGTGGGTTCTCTGAATAAAGATAGTAACACGCGGGCTATTTTCAAACTTCCAGAGAACCCTCCCCCCAGAACATTCTGGGCCAAAATGATATTTATGGAGCCCTCTGGGCTTTTGGAAGGGAAGGTGTAACCTCAGTGTGTCTGCAGCTTTCAGGAGAGAGCTTTCTTCTGTCGGGGAGGCGGGGGCGGGGGGGCAGCGACCGCGTGCCCCTCTTGCACTTGCTTCCAGGTCCCGAGCTCGCAGAGGCCGGACGCTGGCACCTGAGTCAGAAAACGGTGGTTTTCCGTGCCGAGCACCTGGTGCTGACCCTGTCTGTGGGCCTCACGCTGCCATTCAGGGGCACCCGTCGTATCGGAAAATGGGGTCCCCAACCTGGGAGGGCGCGTTACATGGTTTTCCTCGTGCCCAGCATCCGAGCTCATCTCCTGGGGTTCTGCCTTCGACACACATAACAAGGCTGCAGCCCCTGGCCCCCGGCCCAACCGAAAGGCTGTCTTTAGGGTGAAGAGTTGGAATGTGGTCAGTACAGTTCGGGTGGAAAAAAGACGGCCTGTAGGTGCGTGGACCCAAACAGCGCCCTCAGAAAAGAGCCAAGACCCCCCTCCGATCCCCATCCTGTAGGTGCGGGGAGAGGGCTCCAGAGAGCTGGCTTCTAAACGGGCGTCCCGGGGGAGTTCTGACGGCCAGGCACGGTGACATGGAAAAGGCGAGGGGGGGCGCGGGGAGCCCTGAGCGGCCAGCCTGCCAGGCGGGTGGCCTCCCTGGGGTCCCGCCGCGGCCGACCTGCGCCTGGTGGGCCGTGTCCCCCATTCATTCTCCGTCAGCTCCCTGGCAGGTGCCCGGCCTTTCTTCACCCTCTCTGCCAACCCGGCCTCCCCTACCCTGCCCTCTGCCAGTGCAGATATAAATATAAGAGCATTTTCCACGGGCCGGCACAGAAGGGCAAGCATTCGACTTTATTTTAGGGCCGTGAAATTCCCTCCCTTCATACCCAACAGGTGCCTCGCCTCATTTAGCTACCAGGGCCCAGAAATAGAACGCAATTTACAATATAGCTTCCTTCGGGCATCAGGATGCTATTTAAAAAAAAAAAAAAAAAAAGCCATCCTGTGAGATGGCCGGACACGGGCCGGAACGCCGGCTTGACCCGCTCCACAGAGGAGCCCAGCGCTTCCGGAGACTGTGGGGAGGGAGGACCACCCTGTGAGGCGGGGGCCCTGGCTGGCATGGTGGACCGGAGATGGGAACAGGCATACGAGGTGTTTTCCAGTACCCCCCTCAGTTAAACTGACTGCCCCCCCATCCTTTGTGGCCCAAGCGGACAGAGGAGACTGCTCTTCTGTCCACCCTTCAGCCCAAGCACAGGGACCCACCAGGCACCTCTTGGCAAACTGTGTTCACGTCAGCTATTGGGGGTGAGTGGCGTCTCCCTGGGTGCGTGTGTTGAAATCCTGACCCTATTCAGAATCAGGGTTTCTGCAGGTGATCAAGTTAAGATGAGGCCATTAGGGTGGATCGTAACCCCGTAGGGCTGGTGTCCGCACTAAAAGGGGAAATTTGGACACACGTGCGGGAAGAAGCCATGTGAGGTGAAGACAGAGATGGGTGATGTGTCCACCAGCCAAGGGACATCAAAGATGCTCGCAAACCAGGAGGAGCTGGGACAGGGGGCGGGCAGGCCCAGGACAGTCTCCCTCACGGCCCCAGGGACGACCAGCCCTGCGGCACCTCAGGCCCTCACTTCTGGCCCCCAGCCTGTGGGAAAGGACATCTCTGTGGTTTAAGCCGCATGGTGTGTGGGAATTAGCTAAGCTCCGGTTCCCACTGTCCGTGCCTCGAGGGACACGGGTCCCTGCGGACGGGGGGCAGGGTGCAGGCCTGGGCCTGTGAGTGTGGCTCCCCCAGAGAGCATCCTCACCGCACCTGCCAATCCCCTCTGCTGCCAGCCAGAGCCGCGGCCCTCCTGGTGGCCAGCTTCATCAAGGTCACCGTTGGTCCAGAGAAGCCCCAGATCATGGTCAGGTCTCCTCTGGGATGTCCGTGAGGCCACTCCGATGGCCATCACCAAACCAGCCCCCCGGGGCCCTTTCCTTTTGAGGAGCCGTGGGCAGAATCTACAGGTGCCGCGTGGCCCAGCGGTGGCCTGGTGAGTGTGCCTCCGCGGATCTGCGCGGCTCGGGGCCGACACGGGGCCTCTGCCGCTTGCCCTGTGGCTCCCACTCAGGGCCAGGAACAAGGAGCCTAACTTTGTCCCTCAGCCTGGGCCAGAAGTGGGCAGCTGTCCCCTCCGGGCATCAAGAACTCAGTCAGTCTCCGTTAGACACAGGCCGCCCTCCAGGGGCCGGCTGGAGACGCTAAGACACGCTGGCAAGGGCGAGGGCCTGCCCAGCAGGCGACTGCCCGGCGGTCCACACTTGGGGCTGCTGGGGAGGGTCTCCCGTGGGCGTCCGAGGCAGTTCGGGAGGCACGTGTCTGCGGCATTGCCCACTCCCTCTGCTGCGGACGCCTGGCCTTGGGAGAGGGGGCAAGGAAAGGGCGGGCGTGGACACAGCCCCCGGCGACATGGTGGTCTCGGTAGAGCCGTGTGCAGACCCAGGACCAGGTTCTCTGTTGAGTGCCCTGTGATGCGGACACGCACGGCCCCCAGCTGGCCCCTTCCCGGGACCTCACTTTCCCCAGCTCTGCTCTCCCAGCCTCATCCCTGGCGAGTCCAGGCCCCGCGGCCACTCTCCCTTCCTGTAGAATTCAGTCTCCGTTTCCGGTCTTCTCCTTCCCAGAGAAGGTGCCCCTGCTCACCCGCTTGGAGTGCCCGCCCGCCTCCCCACTCCCCGTCCCGACACCTCCCCCCCCTGCCCTGTGGGCAGAGGCCCATGTTACCCGGGAGTCTGGGTAATTACTCCGGCTCGGCCTCCTCCGCAGACCCAGGGCACAGGCAGGACGCGGGGCCTCAGAGGATGTGACCGGCAGGTGCAGGCTCCTCGCTGCCCTACGCTTGCAGATGGGGCCCTGGCTCCGCGTCGGGTCCCAGCGGCGCGTGCGTGTGCGCAGGAGGCGGGGGCGAGCCTGAGGGAGCCGTGCCCACGGAGGCCGGGGGGCAGGAGCTGGCCCAGCGGGCATCCACCCCCAGCAGCCTTCTCTCTTGGGAGAAGAGAACCGGGAACCGGAGCAAGGCACACAGGACGGTGGCTCTCGCTGCCGTGACGGTCTTCCCGCTGTCATCCTAACGGCCCGTTGGCGGCTCTGGTCCTGGACAGAACCGCGTGGTGGCCAGCGGGAGAGGAGGAACGCCCGCCCAGCGAGCGCGGGGCTGGGCCCACCGGGCAGGACGGGTGCCAGGAGGGCGAGGTCCTGTCCCTCCTGCTGTGCTGGAGCACCCGTCAGGGGCCGCGGCGGCAGCCGGACTCCTCGTGCCGCGCCAGGAGCGACATGCGGGAGAAGGTCCTGGTGCAGCTCCCGCACTGGTACTTCTTGGTGTCCGAGTGTGTCTGCAGGTGGGCGCGCAGGTTGGAGCGGTCAGCGAAGGCCCTGCCGCAGTGCGAGCAGCTGTAGGGCTTCTCGCCTGGGGGGAGAGGGCGCCAGCCGAGTGTCCATCTGGCCCACCCCAGGAGGTGGCCCCCCTCCCCCCTCCCCCCTCCGCCGCCTCCAGATGCTCATGGCAGCTCTGACGCATTGCTCTCCCCCCCCTTCCCCGGGAGATCTGCGGCGGGGCCTCGGCGCCTGCCCCGGGAGGAAGCAACCCCTAGGGCCGTGAGGCCCACACCCACGGTCAGGGTCAGAGCTGCCTGGGAACAGGGTGGAGTGTCACCCCGGGGCAGGACTGCGGCATCTCAAGGCCTTGCCGAGAGGAACCGCCTAGCATGGGTCCTTGCTAGACCTGCGCCGCCGCTGCACCTTCCTGTTTCTGCCAGAGCCCTCCCGGGGCCCCTTGCCCAGACCTGCCCCGAGCAGCCCGGGGAGGGCCGGGAGCGGAAAGCAGCTGGGCTCCCGCAGAGGCTGCCGCGTAGGCGAGCCCCGGCCCTTGCAGTGGAGACAGGCATTTTGGAACGACTTGAGACCCCTGTGTCCTCTGGGCCACCTCCAATCAGGGCGAGCGGGGATTTGGAGAAAGGCCTGTTGGGAGCTGGGCCCCCAGGTCAACCCTAACAAGTGTAAAAAGCCTCTTAAGGGTCACCTGTTCTCCTCCGCCCGTGTACACCCGATAGAGTCCTGGGAAGCACCAGCCTGTGGGACCCCCGGGCCAGCCTCCTGGGGGGCCTCCCTCCCTCTGGGCCCCCAGACGAGGAGCACTGGGCCCCTGACAGTGTGAGCCCCAGGGAGCTGAGGAAAACGGACTGGAATTTCAGCCCAGAGAAAGGCTCCTGCGAAACCCTTCCTTCCAGCCTCCGCCTGATGTGACTCAGAACAGTCCCACTTCCAGAGGCCTGGCTCAGGGCTGGGGAGGCTCCAGTGACGGGGGGCGTGTGTTCAGCCGTGGGCCTCAGCCTCGTGCGCCTTACCCCTGGGCTTTGGTCTCTCTGCGCCCACCTGCCCTCTCCTGCTGGGCACGGGTGCCGTGTGCTTCACCCCCGCCCGCCCCAGGGCAGGCAGCCCACCTCCCCTGTCTTGGGCAGCGGTGGCTGATGTAGGGACCACGTGCTCAGGCCCCCGGGCCTCCTTCAGGTCCGAGCGCACGGCCCCCCTCCCGCACAGGCTCATCTGCCCATGTCCCCCTGGCGCGCTCTCACCGGGGTGGGGTTTGCCCCGGGGGCTCAGGCCCCCAGCCCCCAGCCAGGGCCCAGCCCTCGCCTGTGCCCTTCAGACGGTCTGTGTGCTGCCCTGGTCGCCGCCACAGGGGAGGCCCCGGGAGCTGTGAGTGTGACCTCACTTGGACAGTAGGGTCTTTGCCCGCGTCATCAGGCTACCGTGGGGTCACACTGGGGTATGCGGGCCCCGGTCCAGCGGGACTGGTGTCCTTACAGCAGAGGGAGGTGTGGACACAGCCCAGGAGGGGCCGTGTGAGGACGGGGGCGGAGGCACAGGGGCGGCTGGAGCCCCCGGGGGGGCTGGACGGGGCAGGAAGGAGCGTCCCCCCCCCGCCTTCTCGGGGGAGCGTGGCCCCGCGCCTCCGCGATTTCAGACTCCGGCCTCAGGAGCTGGGACAGAGGCCATTTCTGACGTTTGAGCCTCTGGTTGGTGGGGCTTCGGAAACCCACACACAGGGAAGGAGAAGCCACGTGACCGCCCTCCCTTCCTTCCTGACCCCCGGGTCCCGCCCTCACCCCCAGCCGGGTCCCTCTGGCGGATGCACCCACCTGTGTGGGTCCGGATGTGGCCCTGGAGCAGCCAGGGCCTGGAGAAGGCCTTGCCGCAGACGGAGCAGAGGCAGGGCAGCGTGTGCGTGCGGATGTGCATCTTGAGGGCGCCCAGGCTGCCGTACTCCTTGTCGCAGTACCTGCAGCTGAAGCAGCGGGGCGCCCGCGGGGGCCAGTGCAGCTGCCGGTGCCTGGCCAGCCCGGCCGGCGTGGGGCGCGGCCTGCAGCAGTGCAGGCCCTCGAAGCCCCCTGGGGCTGCCTGCAGTCCGTCTGGAGCCTGGCCCCCGTCCGGGCCCGGGATGGGGGGCCACCGCGTGGGCAGAACCAGCAGCGCGGGCAGGTTGAGGTGGTTCAGGCTGTCTCTGAGGGGCACGCTGGGGGCCCGGCCGGCCCGGGAGTCCGCCCGGCTGCCTTCCGGGGCGTTTGGCCCAGAGGTCCCCCGAGCTTCCTCGGTACTCGGAAGGGGCAGGGAGATGCGGGAGACGACAGAGGTGCGGTCCCAGGGCCGGGGAGGGTCAGCAGGGGTGGAAGAGGCGGCCTTGTCTGGGAGGAAGAGGGGCACCGCCAGCCCCCTGCAGGCAGAACAGGCTCCATTAATTTCTAGAAAGGAGGAGGGGGAGAGAGCGTGAAGGTGGACATGAGCCCCAGCACTCTGTCCCTTCGGTGCGGCCGCAAGCCTGCCTTCTGCGTCATCAGCAGTTCTGAACGGAGGGGAAGGGCTGAGAGGCCGGGTGTCAGCTCGGGAAGTGACCACAAGGTCTAGAGGAGAGGTCTGAGTTCTTCCTTATTGTTATTATTATTTTTTTAATGTCTATTTTTGAGACACCATGAGCAGGGGAGGGGCAGAGAGACGGAGAGGGAAGGCTCCAAAGCAGGCTCCAGGCTGACAGCAGAGAGCCGGATGCGGGGCTTGAACTCACCAACCATGAGATCATGCCCTGAGCCGAAATCGAGAGTCAGAGGCTCAACTCACTGAGTCGCCCAGGTCCCCCCCGCTCAGTTCTTCTTTAAAAGCAAAGGAGGGAGCCTGGGTGTCTCAGTCAGTTAAGTGTCCAACTTCGGCTCAGGTCATGATCTCGCGGTGTGGGTTCGAGCCCCACATCAGGCTCTGTGCTGACAGCTCAGAGCCTGGAGCTGTTTCAGATCCTGTGTGTGTCTCGCTCGCTCTCTCTTTGCCCCTTCCCTGCTCATGCTCTGACTCTCTCTGTCTCTCAAAAATAAATAAACATTAAAAAAAAATAAATAATAAATTAAAGCAAAGGAAATGGCTTACCGGATCCCTGAATGCCCCTCATGGGGCCCAGGGAGGCTCCCTACTGGCCGGGCAGGGCAGGCCTCTCTGACCCCCGCCCCGCCTTGGGCCCAGCTTGCCTCACCAGCTTCCTGCAGGCGCAGATTCAGATCAGACATTTGGCGCTAGGCCACCCTGTGAGGACAACCAATTAGCCCCCATCACCCCTCACCCACGGTGACGCAGGTGCCAATGCTCCCGGGTGGGGGGGAGGCTGTCCTCGGGAGCACCACCCCGCCTCCAGGGGCAGCCTGTCCCCGGGACGTGGCTCCTGTAGTTGTGGGCCAGCAGGCTCGTGCCCGACAGAATGAGCGGCAGGGGCCCCAGGGACACAGGCTGGCAGGCGGGACTGGCATCCTGCCTTTTCCCTAACCCCACATCTCCATGCAGCCCCCAACCCACTTCTTACTCCGGATGTGCTGGCATCAATCTCTGGTCCCGTTTCTACCTTCATGCCAAGGCTTTGGGCAAGAAAGACAACCCACAGAATGGGAGAAAATCTTTGCAAATCATGTATCTGTTAAGTAGATAGCATGTAAAATATAGAACTCTTGCAACTCAATCATTCGTATATATATATATATAATTTTAAAATGGGCAAAAGATCTGAATAAACATTTCTCCAAACCAGATATACAGATGGCGGGGCACCTGGCTGGCTCAGTCTGTAGATCATGTGACTCTTGATCTCAAGGGTTTGGGTTCAAGCCCCACGTTGGGCATAGAGATTACTTTAAAATGTATATATACATATACAAATATGCCAACAAGCACAAAAAAGATGCTTGCCACCATTAGTCATCAAGGAGATGCAAATGAAAGCCACGGTGAGGGGCCGCTTCGCTTCGTGCCCACTAGGACGGCCAGAATTAACAATAGCCAATTACAAGTGTTGATGAGGGTGTAGAGAAGCGGGGGCATTTAAGGAAACTTCCCACCTTCCACTCTATCCTGCGCTCGCCCCTAATCCCCCCAGTTATAAAACAGCACGGCGACCTTCTATCCCCCTGGGAAGAGGGACTGGGCAGCGTCAGGCTAAGAGACAAACTCCCAGGAAGTTCTGGAGAGATGCCTTGGGGGACCCAGACAACCTAGGACCCCACTTCACTCGGGGCCTGTCTACTGGGGAAAAACCCACCTCTCTTAAGTCTCTGAGTCTCAGCCACCACCCTGGCCACAGGTGTCGCCAGAGCCAACCCAGGTCTTGGGGGCTGGGGCGGCCCCAGAGGGAGGGCAGGGGAGGGCGGCAGCCGGGCCGTGGCCCTGATCCAGTGCGTCTGCTGGCCCTTCAGATGCTCCCACACACCCTCGGGGGCTGCTGTGGCTCAAATTCCTGGGGGGAGAGACTTTTCAGTCCCCTCCATGTCAGGGGCTCCCTGGGCGGAGGCCTGAAAAGGCATTTATTTTAAAAGAGAGAGGGAGGGACCCCAGACCCCGTACCTCAGTCTGTCCTGGGGCAACATCCTGGTAGAAAGAAGCTCACAGTGGCCATGTAGCCTCAACAAGTGGGAGCCTCATCAAAAGGAGGGAGGGGAGGGGGGAGGAGGCTGAGAGTGCTGGAGCGCCGGGCTGCTCTGACACTCTGCACGTTCAAATAGTAAAGTTGGGTGCACTCTGGGACTGGGCTCTAAACAACAGGTGTTAAGCTTTAAAAACTCCATTTCCCATCATGTATGTATCTAAAACGCAAGCTTCCTTTACCAGAGCACTGTGTTCTGGCGCCTTCTGTTCCATTTCATTTTGTGACATTTTATGACAAATTGTTTTCGAAATGTGGAGTTGGGGACCCCAGTCCTAGGAGGCACCCCTTGGTGGCAGTGAGCCTGGAATGGATCCGGGGACGGTGTCCACTCCTGGGCTTCCTCCGTGTCCCCTTTCCCCTCTGCCCCTGAGCCACCCAGCAGCTCCTCAGGGTCTTCACCCCCAAGAGGCTGTGGGGTGATGGCTCTGATCGCTCTCCAGAGACCTCTGTCCTGGGAACTTCTCGTGCCCCCAGGACATGGGCAGTCCTGGTCCTGGACCTGTGCCTCCCCACTGGGCCGCCTGGGGGGAGGGGGGAGGGGGGCAGCCCCTCAGCCCAGCCTGCCCTGAGCAACCTCCACGCGGGTGAGGGGAGGCCCTGGGGGAGGTGACCCACAGAACGGCAAGGAGGCACTGGAGGGTGTTGGGGGAAGGCTCATGGGCTGGGCCTTGGCACACACAGCCCACGGGTCACTCTTCGGGTCCCCTCTGGATGCTCTGGGGGAGCCCTTGGACAGCAGCCCCAAGTCTCCCTCCGTCTCTCTGCACACCCATCCCTGGGACCCTCCCACACCGACTGCACCAGGAAGATGGCTCCAGGGTTCCCTTAGGCGGGATGGGTGCGCCAGGCCATACGGGAAGAGCCCCCAGAGTGACTGGGGGCCTCGAAACTTCTCTAAGTGGGGAGGGAATCTCCCTCTCTAAGTCGGGAGGCCCCCGACACGGACAAGGCGCTCGCAGGCCGCCCACCCACCGGGGGTCTCGTCCCCGCTCCGCTGGCGCTGGCGTGGCAACTCCTCTCCTCCCTCCTGGGACGGGAGTCCGAGCCCTGGGCGGGGCTGGGGAGCCGGCAGCCCCTACCTGTCTGCGTCTCCAGCTGCCTGTAGTTGGGGGCCCTGTGGTTGGAGTGCGTTTTCACCAGGAAGGAGCGCGGCATGGTTCCCCCGCGCGCGGGTCCCCCTGCGCGTCCGGCCGGCGCCCGCCGGCAGCGCAGCGGGCAGGTGGCCCGAGGCTTGGCTCATTAGCATAACGCGCCGCCTGGGCCAACCAGCGCGGGGCGCGGCCGGGGCGTGGCCGAGGGGCGTGGCCGAGGGGCCACGCCCAGGACAGGTGCGCGGGCCGCGGGGGAGGGAGCGCGTGGCCGCCGTGTCCTCCCCACGGGACTGCCCTGGCGCGCGCCGCGAGTCACACCGACCCCTGGGGCCTGGCGCACCCACTTGCCGTGGACTGAAGGGCGGAGGTCAGGGCTGGGTGGAACCGCGCCGGCTCCGGTCCACAGGGCGGTGGAGGCGTGCGCGGAGCCCTTGCTGCAGCTGGCTGCGCTCGCCCCACCTCGTGTTCAAACCCGCGTGGATAGGATTGGTGAGCACGAGCCCTGAACCCCACAGCTGACCCAGCTGACCCGCCGTAGAGGGGGCGGGGGTTAGCCGGCCTGCGGAAGAGAGGCCTTTCCCAGTGGGCGAAGGCGGCGGGGGGAGGGGGGTCCTTCCCTCAGGGGACAGCTCTCTCGGAGGTGGCCCAAGCTTCCAAAAGGCTCATTTGGCCAATGAAAAGGACACAGCCTGGAATTCCGGGATTGCACGGGGAACTCCGACCCACCCGCGGTTATGGGAAGTTTAATCAAAGAGCGGGCGTGCGTGCGCTCTGCAGCAGCCTCCTCTGTGACCCCGGGCTGCCATGTCCCCGTTCCGGGCGGCAGGGAGCCAGGCAAGCCATGGCTGAGTGTCCTCTCCCCTTTGGTGTGGGTGGTTCAGGGGGCAGACAGGCATTCCCTGGGCAAGTGGACACAGCACCACGCCTGCCCCTGCCAGCTGTGGGGCCTTTCTGGCCTGCCTCAGAGGCTCTGAGAAGTTAGAAGGCAGGGCCTTGGGGACGCAGGCCCACGTTGCAGGCCGCACACGGGGTGTGCACTCCCGTCTGCTGCTGGATGAGAGCATGGAAGGGCAGGTGGTGCGCGGATGGAAGGCACGCGTCTGTCCTGCGGGCCACAGCCTGGCACTGTGCTGTTGTGTGTGGATTTCAGGGGACACGTGGCTGCGTTCTGCTTTTTCACCTGTTCTGTGGCCTATTTATACCCTCTCTTCCTTCTTTCCCCTTCCAGACATAGATAAGGCTCGCAGATACCTGGGCCGGCCCCGCACCCACACTGTCCCTCTTCACCCGGTCACCCACTGTGTGGCCACCAGCCAAGATGGCCTCCCTCATCCCCAGAGAGACATTCATACTATTTAGGGAAACTGGCGTGTTCCTAGTCTCAACCCGGAAACACCCCTGGGATCCCGAGGGTCCTTGGAGCGGCTGTGGGGGAGGGGCTGCAATAACAAATGACCCCACCCACTTCTCAGCCCTCCTTGGGGTCATGCAGACTCACTGGCTGTGACTCACAGAGCTGTGTCTGGGCCGGACCCAAGTAGGACCCACAGAGGAGAACCTCAGTGTCTGCGTGTCCACACCTGTGCAGTGCCGGGGAGGGGTGCCGCTGTCCGCGCCCAGCCTTGCTCCGTGTCCTCTGTCCTCATTATGGCCGCTTTACCTGCTGGTGAAGCCTCACATCCACCCGCCCACCCACCCGCACCGGCCTCCTGGAAGCTGCCCCTCTTTCAACCAAAGCAAAGTCCTCTCTTTCCTGAAGAGTTCACAGCGGGCTTCTCTTGACGCCTGGGACCTTAGGGATGACAGCTGGCCGGGAGCCAGGCTGTCCGCCTTGCCCACCTGCCTCTATCAGGGGCCCGAGCAGCGGCTTCCAAGTAGGCAACACCCCCAGGGCCACAAATTGTTACAGTTCTACTTACATACTTTCTCTCTTTCTGTGTATGTTTTTGTACTTTTCGTCTGCCTTACAAAGAATAATTCAGTAGTGCTTGACTCTCCGTGTGCGTCTCCATTGCGTGCTCACATTGTAGCTGATTTGGTTTCATGACCCAGTTTGGAGGGTCTGCTCCCTGTCGGACTGCACCCCAAGAGGGTGGCCGGGTGGGGGTCAGCCCTTGCCCCTGCGCAGGGTCCGGATGTGGCACGTGCTCGGGGGGTCCTGCGGTGCCTGTTGGACTAGATGGAAAAGCACCGAGAACCCCCCAAACAGCATGGACCCTGGCACGCCCATCCCTGGGGGTGGGAGGGTTAGCGTCCGTGCCCTCGGCTGCAGGAAGCCCAGGCCCAAACTCTGGGAGCACTGCCTGCAGCTGGACCTCACAGCCGGGCCCAGGGCAGATGGCTCCTCGGCCTGGGGGCGCCAGCCCCTCTATCAGTGAGTGGAGTGTTCACTGAGGGGAGGGGGGGGGCTATGGCTGGGACATCCTGACCTGGGGCAACCCCACGGCCCTCCAAGCTCATGGACTTGTGCAAATTCAAACCAAATGCTCAATGTCCCAACGTCTGGTTGGACCAGGGGCCAGCGTGTGCTTGCTCACCCCCAGAGAAGGGGGACTCACTACCAGTTTTGAGGCCTGATTGTTAAAGTTGATTCTGGTTCTTTTTAAAAAAAATTTTTTTTAATGTTTTATTTATTTCTGAGAGATTGAGAGAGACAGCATGAGCAGGGGAGGTTCAGAGAGAGAGGGAGACACAGACTCTGAAGCAGCTCCAGGCTCTGAGCAGTCAGCACAGAGCCCGATGTGGGGGGCTCGAACCCATGAACTGTGAGATCATGACCTGAGCCAAAGTCGGACGCTTAACTGACAGAGCCACCCAGGCGCCCCGATGCTAGTTCTTAAACTGGGATCCAGTGGACACATCCTGTGTGAGATGAGCACACTCAAGAGAGGACGCTGTTCCTTCCCACACAGCTTATAGGACATGCGGTAGAGTCCTAGATGCCTGGCGGCATGCCAGAGAATTGGGTGCTGAGGAGCGGTCCTAGGGGCTGGGGCAGAAGGGTAGAGACGAGTGGGGGCTGAGCAGGGGCGCACGTGCGGGCTGGGCTGTGTCCTGCGTGTCCCACCTGACGCATGAGTGTGCACACCATGCGGCCACAGGAGCTGCTCCCGTGTGACGCCGGCGTCAGGCGGCAGCAGGGGCCGGGGCCTTGAGGGGAGCCACCCGTCCTGTCCACAGCGGGGCTCCCAGCTCTGCCCCCCACCACCTCCATGAGCTTCTCGTCTGTCCACACCCTGGAGCTGGCCCCTCGTTCCCAGCTGGAGACCAGCTGTCGGAGGCCAAGTGCCCAGCGCTCAGGCCATTGGCTCCTGCGAGGCCGGAACAAGAAGTGCGTCAGGGGTCAGGGGCTGGGAGGCTGGTGGGGGCGCCGGCTCTGCCTTCCCCGGCTGGCCTCCCTAACAGAGAAGGTTCTAAGTACCCTGATGCTTTCTAGGCCGCAGGGGGAGCTGTAGACCGTGCACCGTGAAGGGAAAGCGTGCGCCCCAGACAGGGGCTGCCTGGCTCTGTGTGGCAGTGGGGGAGAGGAGCTTGCACTCATCAGGGTGGCGGGCACACCATGACTCCCCAGCCTGAAGCGCGTGTGGCGGGACAGCCCCACTGCACGTGGGATTCACGCCAAGTACGAGGGAGGCTGCTTGTGCTGTGGACTCGAGCTGGGGCGTCCCCACCCCGACACCGTGGGGTCTGCTGAGATCCAGCTCCCCGTGTCCCGTGGGCACTGCTGGGGTTTGCTCTGATGGCCCCCCGCTGGGCAGACCATCCTGGACTCCGGGTCACTTGGTCGGTGTTGTGTTCTCTGTGGCCCTTTCTGGCCTGGGCCTGGGGTGAAAGGGATGAGAGGCCACGTGTGGATGCTGTCCTTTGGCTCTTGGCTCCCGTGGCTACGTGGAGGGGGCACAGCTGCACAGGTATCCCCGGGCGGAGGCTGGGACTCGTCGCTCCACCTGCTCCGTGGGACAGGCCTCCCGGGGCCAGTGGGGTCAAAGAGGGGAGGGCGGGGCTGGAGGCTCCCAGTGAGGTAGCCAGCCTGTCACCGCTCGCCTGGGTGGCCCGTTGTGGAGACTTGTTTGCCTGGCCCTGCCGTGGCTTCGAGCTCAGGAGACCCACCTTCTTAGAAAAATAGCCGAGAACACAGTCCTGCCTGGAGAGGCAGCCTGGTAACAGCCAAGGGGGAGGGAGGAAGGGGTGTGGCCGCACACCAACCACCAGCTGCCAGGACACAGGCAAGCAGGTGACATTTGTCGGCTCTTAAAGTCCCAAGTGATGTGGGGGACAGCAGGAATCCGTGGCACCAATGGTGGCTCTGAACACTGTCTCTGGGTGGACATTTCACGTTTAAAGATTTTATTTTCAAATCATCTCTACACTCAACACGGGGCTCAAACTCACGACCGTGAGATCAAGAGTCACATAGGGGTGCCTGGGTGGCTTAGTTGGTTAAGCGTCCGACTTTCGCTTAGGTCATGATCTCACGGTTCGTGGGTTCGAGCCCCGCGTCGGGCTCTGTGCTGACTGCCAGCTCAGAGCCTGGAGCCTATTTCAGTCTGTGACTCCCTCTCTCTCTGACCCCCCCCTGCTCATGCTGTCTCTCTCTCTCTGTCTCCTAGAAATAAACATTTAAAAAAAAAAAAAGAGTCACATGCTCTACCGACCGAGCGCCGGTGACCCTGACATTTCACATTTAAATGGCTCCTTCTGACCCCAGACACCGACTGAAGCCCTGGGGCCCAAGGCAGGATGCCAGGGAAGCCACCAAGCACAGGAGCCAGCCGTGGGGAGAGTGGCCGCTGCTCAAGGGCCTGGGCTCCCCGTGGGGCCTCCCAGAGACCGCGTGCAGGCCGTGTGGCCACATCCGGACCCCGGAGGGAGCCTCAATGAGACCAGCTGGCAGCCTCCAGGGACCGCATCTCACAACAGGGAAGGAGGTGAGAGCCACCAGCACCTAGCAAACCTTTGCCTGGATTTGTCACCGGGACCAGACGTGGGGTTCAAGAAAGAGCACGTGTCTGGGGCAGGTGGACACAGGCTGGTGAGCGAGGGCCTCGGGAGCCTGGGGAGGTGCTGGGGCCAGGGCTGGAGCAGGTGCCCTGAGCGGGGCTGTGAGGGGACAACTTCCCCCCCCCCGCCACCAGAGACCTTAAGCAAAGGGTGCACACCAGCCCCCGCCCGACTTCTAACACTCCCAGGTGAACCCACCAATCGAGGTTGCTATAGATGCTTTGAAACGTTTTATTTACGTTTTTTTAAAAGAGCAATAATTTATGCATTGAACCGAAAGAGTAAGACAGCGTCTTCCAACCCCGCCCGTCATCCCCAGGGGTGGCCTGCTGGGCACGGGGCATGGTCCAGGGTCCGCCTGGGAAGGTGACAGCGGGGCCAAGGCCGCGCCCCTGGCAGGAGGGGGCTGCACTGTGAGCAGTCAGGGGGCGCCGGGGCTGCTTCCTGGTGACTAGGAGAGGGACCCTGCCACTGGGGTCCTGCAGGCTCCCCAGCAAAGCCCTGCGGCCGTGCTCTGGCTCCGGCGTCTGCTCGCCTCTTTCCCTCCCCTGCGCTGACCCCATCACTGTTTATTTTTGATTGCTTTTTTTTTTAAAAAATATAATCTTGTAAATGTTCCATAAAAATACTATTGTTCCTAGTCAAACACGGGTATTGCGATATGAAGAGTAACTGCTCTGTCTTTGCTCTATAAAATGTGAAAAGGTTATCACACCGGATAATATAGAAAAATGCCGGAATTTCTAGGTATCACAAAAGCCAGTACCGAGTGCGCAAAGTGGAAGTGTTGCCAGATGCCGCCCGGGGCCCCTCCTGCACTTCCGGTGCGGCGGCCGGGCCTGCGGGGCACAGCTTGGGCAGAGCGGGTCTCTGTGCGGACGGGGAGGACATCATGGCTTTGAGACAGACAGACAGACGGCCAGCTGCTCCCAGGCCCGTCGAGCCGGCCCCCACCCCCAGGGCCGGCTGCTCAGCTCGAAGCACCGAAGAACCAGCGACGCTCGGCCAGGAGCACTGGTGGCCACCCCGTGAGGACGTGGGCCGGCGGGCTTGGGGCCGCCCCTCCTGCAACCACGGAGGCCCCGCTTGGTCCCCAAGGCGCACTCCCACGCAGGCGCTGGGCCTCAGAGAGCCGGCCCGGCCCTGTCCCCCGAGGCGGGAGGGCTCAGGTCCGGGGGCTGTGCCCTCAGTTCTCAGAGAGAGACAGCGCCAGGGCGGCCTGGAAGGCAGCCTCCTCGTCGATGCTGTAGTCCTGTGAGACAGGAAGTGAGGACCGGGCTGCACCGGTGGCCTTTCAGGGCCCCCAGACAGGACAGCCACATCCCAGTGTCACGGAGCCACTGCAGTGACAGCCCCAAGGGACAATATTCTTTGCCTCCCCGAGGGCGCCGTGGACGCCAGTGCGACGGGCCTGTGGGAAAGTGAGCTCCTCCGGCCCAGACCACAGGCCCCAGGGTGGTGCACTGAGCGGAGGAGCCAGGCATCTTTGTGGCCCCTGGCAATTAGGGTGGGCGACCGGGCCGTGAGCAAGTAGCCCCAAAGGCCTGTGTCCGGGAGGGTCTTCAGGCTTTGTGGGGGGGCTGGGGAGACAAGGTTCTGACCCCCACAGTGGGGGAGGGCAGGGCGCCTGCAGCCCTTCTCCAGGCACCAGGAGGGAAGCCTGTCACCTCCCGCAGGCCCTCTGTCCCCAAGCCACCGGGCAAAGCCTGAGAAGAAGGCCACGGCCCAGGGCGGGGGTGACCAAGCCAACAAAAGGGGTCCCTGCCGGCACTGCTTAGCGCAGCTCGAGTCCCCAGGCCCTCCAGGGCCTGCACACAGGTGGTGCCCCCCCCCCCCCCCCCCCCCCCCCCCCNCCCCGCGCAAACCGTGCCCAGCTTCCTCCAGGCTGCTGTGGCGGTCAGGGTCAGGTGGGTTGGGTAAGCGTGCAGGCAGGGGGCCAGGGGCGGGGCCGGCTCAGCATGGGGCGGGACGGAGGGCAGGGGCTGACAATGGGGTGGGACCGGGCAGGGGCGGGGCTGGCTGAGAGAGGGGCGGGGCCGGGCAGGGGAGGGGACCTACCACAAAGGTGTCGTAGGAGAACTTGTGCCGGTGTAGCAGGTGCTGCAGGAAGTTGGCGCTCTTGTAGCTGGGGTCCCCCCAGGGCATCGCCGAGCAGATGGGGCACACCTGGAACGGAGGGCCCTGCTGAGGCAGCGCTCACGCCGGGGGCCCCGCCCCAGGTCCCCGGCCAGGCCACTCACCACGCGGTTGGGGTCGCTGCGATGGTTGTCCACGCAGTGCTTCAGCAGCTCCTGCTGGTCCAGGTTCCGGGCGCCGCAGTAGGGGCAGGTGAAGGTGGACCTGTTGGGGACGGCGCTGGGGCGGTGGTGGGAGGTGAGTGGGGGCCACTCTGGCTGCCCTCCGGGTCCTGCCTGCCCCTGGGCACCTAGCTCTGCCCTCGCCCCCCCAACTCTGGGTCCCCATCCTTCCCCCAATACGGCTGTGCCCCGGGGGAGGGCATCTGTCCAGCCCTGGCCTTTCTGGGAACGGCATTCGCCTGGAGGGAGGTGACTTGTGAGCCTGCGTGGGCCCTCCACCGAGGGGACACGCCAGCCTCTCCCACCTCCTCAAGGGGCAGCAACGGGGGCCAGGAGCTGCCCCTACCAGAGACGGGTGCTCCGAGTGGCCGCAGTGGGTGCTGACCTGGGGATGGGCTGGGACGTGGGCACCACGGGGACGAACTTGGGGCAGTTGGCCATTTGCTCCTGGACCTTCATGCAGGAGGAAACGTGCACCCTCATCTTGGCCAGCGTCACCTAGGAAGAGGGTCGGAGAAGAGGGTCCGCGGCGGCCTCCAGAGGTGGGGGGGACCGCCGGCAAGCAGGCCAGCCCTTGCCCCTGCTGCTCGTGGCCCAGCGGCTCTGTAAGCAGTGAGGGGCCTGGCGTCCGTCTGGAGAAGACACGGGACGCCCACAGCAGGTGCTCACGGCTTTATGCCACAGCCACCCAGGCATCTGGCCACCAGCCACTAGTCAGGAACGCACCTCAGTTGGGCTCCCTCGGGGGCTGCAGACGGGCAGAGGCGGAAGAGCATTTATTTGGGGAAACAGCCCTCACAACAGAAACTGAGGGGCAGCATTCTTTTAAAGACAACCATGTGACCGAACTCCTTACCGGACCACACCAAACCCAACCACAGCAGCACCTTCTCCTCAGCCAGGCCCCGGTCACATGCTCTGGCCCATGGGGGACACCTGGCTCAGGGCGGGGAACGGGGGTGGGGGCCCCGGGGTGGCTCAAGTGAATGACCCCAGAAAAGGAATAAGCGCAGGACTGGTAGAAGCCACCAATTGTGACGCATCACCAACGCCAAAAGGCTGGAAGGAAACATTTCACAAACAGAAAGCTCGCTCACAGGACCCAGGAAGTAGAGAGGAGGGTGTGAGCACCCATCCCTGGGCCAACACCCCACCCAGCCGTCCAGGGTAACAGGAGAAGGGCCTCCCAAGGGCAGCCCGGCTCCCACCTCGGCCCGGAGCGCCACACACAGGAAACTGTTGGAGGGCCCTGCCTGCTCCCTCTCCGGGAAGGAGGCCAAGGAGCCCCCTGCGCGCCCAGACCCTGACCTTTAGGACAAAACCACCAGGGGCTGCTCTCTGGTGTGGGAAGTTGGTACGAGCTGTCAAGCTGAGAGATGAAAGTCAGAGTCCGTTCCTGGGGCTGGGCCACCCTGAGGGGCTCCAGGCAGGCTGGAGTGGGTGACAAAGGCACCCAGGGCCGGGCATGCAGCACTGGAGATGCTCCCTTCCATCCGGCCTGGGGCCCCGTCCCCGGTCGGCATGTCCCCAAACAGCCACACAACGGCTACATGACGACAACGCGAGACCCCGAGCCCAGCCCAGGCAGTGGGGGGGGGGGTCAGATGTGGGGGGACGTGGCCAGGCCACCGGGAAGTGAGTGGTGCTGTGGGGGAGGGGCAGAGCAGCCCAGCCCGGTTCCTCTCTGCGGAACTAGGGCCTGCAGCCACCTACCCCCCGCGGGAGGCCCTGTGGGGGTACCAGCCCCCCGTCCCGGGAAGGCCCTGTGGGGGGGTTACCTTCTTGTTGCAGCCCCTGCAGGGCGCCTTGTAGGAAGAGAGCTGCTTCTCCACGTGGGTGGCCTTGTCCACCTTCTTGGGGTCGAAAGGCAGGCGGCACAGCGGGCACAGGGGGGACGGCACCTGCAGGCAGGGCTGGAGGCACTCCCCGCAGAACCTGCAGTGGCAGTGGACACGGGCCTGAGCGTCGCCGCGGGGAGTGCCTCCCAGGCCAGCTCCCTCTCTGTCAGCAGGCGCATCTGGGGACGGTCCGCTCTGTTTCTAAACCCTACTGACGGGACAGCTGCCCTCTGGCTAAAAGACGAGCCTGGGTCCCCTCTCACGGTGGGTTTCTGGGCCTGCCACATATCCAGGATGCCGGGGGAGCGGTGGCCGTGGCTCCCGGGACCCGAGCTGCCCGCAGCACTGTGCCCAGCCAGCGCTGCAGCCGCGGGGGGGACCGGGCTCAGCCATGTGGTGACAGCACGTCAGGTGCTCTGGGGACCCTCCACCCGCAAAGCTCTCAGGAGCGTGACCGCGAACAGTGCTGAGAGAGGAAACCACAGGGCCCCACAGGCCTGAGACTCACTGGACGAGACAGGGCCAAAGCTGCGCGGGCCGAGTGTCACCAACCGCGGGACAGAGCCTGAGCAGAGGCGCGGTGACAGAAGCGGGGACGCTCATGGCCCCGGGCATGTGAGACACGGCCCCCTCAAAGACTGTAGGGCATCAGGTGAGGCCAGCTGTCCTCTCCCTGGGGTGACCGCGCAGGTGGGGCTGGGGGGCACAGGGTGACAGGGCTCCCCCGCCTACAGACCCCTCCACCGGGCTAAGCGGGCAGCATTCTCCCACCTCCTTCCTGGGAAAAGGCAGCCGGGGGCTACGCGGAGTCTCTCCTGCTGCCCAGCGCTGGGCTGCCCTCCCACACGCGGGCATCTGTGCGGCGCCCCCCACCTGGGCTTGTCAGCGTTTGCACTCACACTGCACGTGAGGAGGCCTGGCTTGGCCTGAGGCCAAGAAAATTCCCAGCAGCCCCTTCCCCAGAGCGCCGGGAGGCTGGCCCACCTGTCCCTTACCTCACCCGGCGCGGGCACCCCTGGCAAGTGTGTAACGGAGGCGCCCGCCCACCCCAGAGATGTGCCCAGCCTAATGGCCGAGGAGGCCGCCCGGTCCCTGCAGGAGAGCCCTGCTGCTGTCACAGTGGGGGCCACAGCGGCGCCGCCACGAGAACCACGAGGTGGAAACAAGCAAGCCACGTCATCCGTGGGTGATGGACACACGGACGCGTGAAGGTGAAGGATCCCAGGATGAGTGAAGGAAGGCGGACGCCGCCATGGAGGTGAGCCATGGAAACACCATGCTCGGGACGTGTGTTGTGTGATTCTGTTCGCGGGAAAAGTCCAGAACAGACCCGCCCATAGACAGACTGCAGACCGGTGCTTCTGGGGCGGGAGCGACAGGGTCTGGTCGCTAATGGGGATGAGGCTTCTTCCTGGGGAGACAGCAGTGATCGAAGGTTGACAGGGAGGACTGCTCGACTCCGTCACTTGAGATGGGATCGCGCTTCAGCAAAGCCGTGAAAAACACATGCAGGAGGCAAGGCCACTGAGCACTCGGGGTGAGTCATCGGCATGTGGTCAGCGGAAGGCAGGGTCCAGGGCCACGTCTCCGACGGGGGGGCTGGCTAGGGTGAAGGGCACCTCTCTGTGCCACGGGGCCAGAGGCACGGCCAACGGCAGCCAGGTCCCCACACTGACTGCGGAGTGCTGAGCGGTGCCAGGCGGTACCCGCCTCTTCCAAGCAGGTTCTGCCCGCACATGCCCAAGGGGCTGGTGCCGAGGGGCTTCTCCACGGACAGAGCCAGCTGGGGGGTCTGCTCTCACACCCTGGACCCGCGGGCCCAACTGGAGCAGCCAGATGGCTGGCACACAGGCCCCAGCAGCTGCAGCGACGGGGTCTCACTCCCACCCTGGCTTCTCACACTCTGGTGTGCCAGGATAGGCCAGTGTCTCAAGGGCCCAAGAAGGCAAAAAGGCGGGCCCGCGGGCACCCGGTGCTATCCTGAGCGGCAGAGAGCCCAACTTCCACAGCCTTTTTGGATGGTGTCGATGGCTCACATCCTGGTCCCCACGTGCAGATCAGGTAAGCCAGCCCGTGCTCGCAGACAGCCAGGCAGGGGGTGACGGGAGCTCCCGGGGCCTCTGGGACTCTGCCCAGAGAAGCCTGCTCGTTGGTCTGGGTGCCGATGGGCAGGGGCCTGTAAGGCCAGCGGTCCCCAGGGTCTCTAGGTCGCTGCTCCAGGAGCACGGGGGCGGGGGGGGGGGGGGGGGGACAGAACCCTGAACACCAACTCCGGCTTTGCCGTGACACTTGGGAGCGAGGTCTCTCGTACCGAAGCAAGAACAACAGCACCTTCTCCAAGAGGCCATGGTACACGGAGTACTCTGTGCCTGTCACTCCCTCCCTGTGTTTACCCTTAAGAGTCAGTGTTTTTATTTTCTGAGACCTGTGCTTGTTAACTGCATGGGAGGACACTGAGGAGGAAGGACCGATGCACAGCACTGATAAGACAGAATGAAAGAGGACCGAAGGGCAGAGGGAGCCCCGGGCAGAGCCTACCCAGCAGATGCGGGCCGTCAGGGGATGGCGTTGGAGGGTCACAGACAGCCACGTGGCTCCTGGCTCTGGGTGTGACTTAGGGGCCAGGATGTCCCCGGAGCATGAGAAACCACCAGTTCCCTCCGGGGGTCCTGGGGAGTCCCTGGGAGCTCTAACGCGGGCCTCGTGACCTAAGGCCCCCACTGTGACCTCTCTTCTGTCCTGTGCTGTCCGCACACGGCCACTCTCGCCACCAGAAACTGCTTACTTAGGTAGCTGTGCGGAAGAGATAACCAGACTGGCACATTTTTAAGGCGAAGAGCGCGAGACTTCAAATCTTCTGCGCTTATTTGCGCCTGTGCCTTCATGACACCAGACGAGAAGCTAAGGAAATGTCAGAGATGGAGACAGGGCAGCCAAGGAAACAAGCCAGCAGCGAGAGCTAGGGAGGAAGTCTTTTACGGAAGAAGCCGTGGAAGAGGCTCTGGGACCGCATGAGACACAGGAGAGCGAGGAGATTCTGCCAAGAAAAACCTGGGTGGGGGAGGGCTTTACAGGAGATGATGCTTCCACAACAATTCTAAACAGTGTTGTATGCTAAGCCTGCATTTTAGGAAAAGACTTATTTAGACGAGAGAGTGAGAGAGAGAGAGAGAACATAGATTGTTCTCCAGGAGACTGGAATGCTGTGGCCCAGGGCTGGGTAAGTGCTGGCGCCAAAGGGACAAAATCCAAAGACCAGGAGAGGCTTTCTAAAGCTGGTCCCAGGAGAAGCCTTACAGTTCTCTCCACAAGGGACTAAAAAAACGCAGAACACACCGTAAAACACCCGCCAGCGCTTACAAGAAAGGAGTCCTGTTCAGAGACTGCCTCTGACAAAACGTCACAAGTGGCATGAGAAAGCGAGGCCCCGTGCCCTTCTCCACAATTGGCAGTGCTCTCCCGGTGTGGGCAGGTGCCCGTGCTGCCTGAGGAGGGGGAACGCGAAGGCTTTCGGGATCCTGACCCCGGCCCCGGGTGATGAGCAGGCACACACGTACCAGCGCAGGAGCCTCCCGAGCCCGCTGCGGTGGTTTGCAAAATGCTCTAGGGGAGCCTGCTGGCCGGTGCACCTCTGCCCAGCGCCCTGGACTGAAAGCCCCTCCTCCTCCGGAGCCCCGCCTGCTGCCAACACGGCCCTCGGGAACCCTCTTCCCACCCTGCTAATTTCACTCAAGAGCTGTTTTACTCAGCCAGGAAGGAGAGAGTCGCAGAGCAGACACCGATCTCGGCTCCCTTCCAACACGGCTGGCAGCTCCGAGAAGACCTGAGTGAAGCCACATCCTCGGGTCTCTGTTGCTGAAACACCCTGCAGGAGCCCCCCGTAGGCCCTGGTGCGGCGGAAACCCCGTCCCCCAGGCGCGCCTGGCTGCTCAGTGACGAAGACCCAAGTTCTCCGTCAAAACAAAGCAGCACAGAAGTCCAAACTAGCCCCTCGCCTAACTTTAGGGAAGTCCTGTCCTCTGCGGTCAAGACAAGCAGGCAGCGGGTCCGAAAAGGATCTGGCAACAAAAGCCACAAGACGTTTATTTACACATGCCCACCCCAGTCTCCAGGGGACCGGATCGAAGGCGACTGGCGCAGAGGTCGCCGCTGCCCGCCGAGGGCCCGTGTAGGTCCGCGGAAGCCGTCAGCAGACCCCAGGGGCCCCGGGACCGGGCAGGGCTGCTGGTCGCCCGGTGCGCCGACTGGGGGGCCGGGTCACCCGGGACTGGCGGGCAGGAGGCTGGGCTGAGGCGGGCAGGGACGGCGCTGCGCAGGGAGCCCCGCGCCCCCGCCCGAGCCCTCCGCGCGCCTGGCTCCGGGGCTGCGGCCGCGGGTCTCGGGCCCCTTCCGGGGCGGGCGCGGATCCCCTTCCCGCAGCGGCGTCCCGGCCCCGCGGCCTCCCGGAGGCCGGCGCACTCACGTGTGGCCGCAGCTGCCGATGGCCACAGGCCGGTGGTACACCTCCAGGCAGATCGGGCAGCTGTACTGCGCCTCCAGGCCGCTGTCACCGCCCGCCGGCCCGCCCGCCGGCTGCCGCTGCTGAGCCGAAGCCACCAGGCTGCGGAACATCGCCATCCCGGGGCCAGGCCTGCCGCCGCCGCTGCCCTGTTCCGGCCCGGCCGGGCCAGCTCGCAGCTTCACGGCCGCGACGGCGCCGCGCTGACGTCATCAGGGCAGCGCCCCGCCCCCGCCCCGCTCGTCACGGCCGCGGCGCCGCCGTCCTTAGTGCGCGCTCCGCCCCCAGCCGGCCGAGCGCAGCCGGGACGGCGTCCTGCTGACGTAATCGGGTCGCGTCTCCGCGTCGCCGCCGCTCACTGCAGCGCAACTCCGCGCAGCCATGTGCCAGGTTGGCGAGGACTACGGGGACCCCGCGCCCGAGGGACCGCCGCCACCGCGGCCTGGGTGAGAGCCGGGCGTCCGCACCCGCCCCTCTTTCCCGGCGCTGCCGTCGGCCCCGGGCGCGGCGCTCGGGAAGCCAGGGGACGGCCGAGGCCGGCGCCGCGGGTCCTGGCGTCCCCGGTGGGGAGTGCCCGTGTGGCCGGCGGTGAACACCCGGGGAAGGGGCCCTCTGCCCGCCGGCCCATGCGGTTCTTGCCGCCAGTGCGGCTGTCCGCAGTCGGCCCCCTGTGGCGTCCACGCCCTGGTTCCATTTCTCCCTTCCGGATCCGCACAGCAAGCGGTGGTGTGTCAGGCCAGCCTTGGAGAGGTTGAGGGGTGGCCTGCATGTGCTCCCCTGAGCGGCCCTTAACAGACTAAAATCCCTCACGGCCCTCGTCTTTTTTCCTGTTGGCAGTCAGGGTGGCACAAGCCTTGGCTGCTGTGTGTACAGCTGCCCTCGAGAGCTCCTCAGACGCCGGGCGGGGGGGGGGGGTGAGAAAGGGGATGGCGCGTCCTCAGGGCCTGCCCGGGGGGAGGTCCGCAACCTGTGTTCTTGCCTCCTCCTTCCCGATGCCTCCCAAGCCGTGAGCTGAAGTGTGTGAAGTGCAAGGAGGGCCTGCCGGTTGTGGTGATCCGGGCAGGGGATGCCTTCTGCAGGTGAGGCGTGTTGGTGGGTAGGGGGCACCCGCCGTCTCCCGTCTCTGTGGCTTGATCTCTTTGAAAAGTGTGAGATCACTTCAATTCTAACTCGAAGTTGCTCCTAGTGACTCTGACGAGTGTGTGTGTGTGTGGGGGGGGGGGTGTTGGTTTTCTGCATGGGCACCCCATAATCCCCGCATTATCCAGCTCGGAAATACGTGGTGGCTCTTATGGGGAGAGTTGGCAGTGAGGATGAGGTGAGTTACAGGCAGGACGAGCATTTGGGGGCAGATTAGAGCATCCTGGGTTCTGGGGCAGGTGCTCTGAGTGATGAGGAATTCACTCCTGTGGGATGGAGGGAGGCGCACAGCTCAGGCTCTGAGGTAGGGGGTCGGCTTTGGACGGGAGCGGAGGAGGCCCACTCCCAGAGGACCTTGTTACGGGCATGTTCCGTTTTCTCTGAAGCTGCCTTGTGGCCCCTGTCGCGTCGGCCGTGGATCGGAGCTCTTCCAGCACCTGTTCGCGGCCGCTGGCTCCACAGCTCCCCGAGGGCAGGGCCGGCCTCCCGCTGTGTCTGTGTCAGTTGCTGCTGACATTGCGAGCTTTGTGTGGGAGGCGGATGTTTGTTGAATGAGTGACCAGCTCATGTTTTTAAATTAGTCTCTAGGAGTCTTGGACTCTACCAGAATTTTCCAAAAGAGAAACTGAAGGGACTGAGTTTCCGCCCCCCCCCCAAAAACTTTCTCCTCCCCAGCCATCCTCTGGGCGCCCAGTGGACTTGGTGTCTGCTACTGGAATATACATTGTAAGCAAAGAAGGCATGGCTTTAGTCACTTAGAGCATCAAAAAGTGATGATTGTTCCAGAACGCCTGGGTGGCTCAGTCGGTTAGGATCCAAAACTTCAGCTCAGGTCAGGATCTCACAGTTCGTGAGTTCAAGCCCCACATCGGGCTTGCTGCCTTTTTTTTTTTTTTAAATGTTTTATTTATTTCTGAGAGAGACAGACAGACAGCATGAGCAGGGGAGGGTCAGAGAGAGAGGGAGACACAGAATCTGAAACAGGCTCCAGACTCTGAGCTGTCAGCACAGAGCCTGATGTGGGGCTCGAACCCACGAACTGTGAGATCATGACCTGAGCCGACGTCGGACGCTTAACCGACTGAGCCACCCAGGCGCCCCTGGGCTCGCTGCTTTCAACACAGAGGCTGCTTCGGATCCTCTGTCCTCCCTCTCTCTGCCCCTCTCCCTTTCATTCTTCCTCTCTCTCTCTCTCAGAAATAAATAAGTTTTTAAAAGAAAGAACATGAAAAGGTGATAATTGTTCCAAACAAAAGAGGCTGCAGCAGCTCCTTCTGGGCTCAGAGCTCCCCCTGCCTGCGGGCAGCGACAGGGTTCTCGGTGCTCCGTGAAGGGGGACGGCAAGCACCTGTTTGTTTCAGGAGCGTCACCACACCCGACTTTCCTGGGAGTCCCGCCCGTGGCTCGTCACCTAGGGTCTCAGCATTTTATTAAACACCGAGTTGAGTTACCACAGAGGCGGGGGCGGGGATTGGTCAAACTGTGGACACAGGTGTGTCCTAATGGGACAAAGAAAGTAGATTTAGGGGTGCAGCCCCAGGTGTGGGGCTGTTCTAATGGAGCCGCGTTCCTCCCTGTTTTACAGGCTGTCGCTGACCCTGAGTCCTGCGGGGTTGTCGGGGAGCTTTCAAATGCAGGGGCCTGGGCCTCACCCTGGCACGTTCTGCTGTATTTGGCTTGAGTGATTCTAACCTGTAGTGAAGGCTGAGAACACTTAACCTAGTGAGCATGGGAACCAGCTGGAAGGTTTATCAAGAACACAGATTCCCAAAGCCTGTGGGTTCTGGAAGTTCTTATTCTGTAGGTTTGAGGAAGAAGCCAGGACTCTGCGTTTGCATGAGCTTCCCAGGCATTTCTGGTCCAGGCGGGATCAGCTCTTTAGGCCAGGGTGGAGCTTTGGGGACCCCCCGCCCCTGCCCCACAGTCTGCTTACTGCTCCCCCCTTCGTCCCAAGAGATGGCACTTCTCGCCACGGGGGTCTTGGAAGCGGCCCTCAGCTCTGCGTAGGGGAGGGTCGGGCTGGCCTTGCTCTGCACTTTCCTGTGTCCGCCCTGCCAGCTGGGCCTTCCTGCGTGCTTGGGGGTGCAGGTGGCAGCGGGGCGGCTGGGGACCAAGGTAGGCCTCCGTGTGGGGCCGGTCCTGGGGCGGACAGCTGGAGAGACCCCTCAACCGTGGCTTCCCTCGCCAGTTTCTGGGCAGAGCCTTGGTCGAGATGCTGTTTTTTCAAGCTGGAAGTGTGTGAAAGAAGGGCACACCCAGCAGTGGTTGGGTCGGGCTGCCTCCCCGTGTGGGCAGGGAGGGGGCGGCCTGGGTGGCGCCCCCACAGCTGCTACTTGGTTGTGTTGCAGGGACTGCTTCAGGGCGTTTTACATCCACAAGTTCAGAGCCGTGCTAGGGAAGAATCGGCTGATCTTTCCAGGAGAGAAGGTAGTGTGTGGGGTGACTCCTCCATGGGGTCCCCAGGCGGCAAGCCCAGCCCCCCGGGCGCTGGCTCTCAGTCCGTGCGTCCCTCCCCACTGTCGTGCAGGGGCAGCGGTGGGGAGGGCGGGCACGGCCCCGTTGGAGCTGCGGTGCTCGCCAGCACGTTCCTTGTCTCCTAGGTGCTCCTGGCGTGGTCTGGGGGGCCTTCATCCAGCTCCATGGTCTGGCAGGTCCTTGAGGTACATCCCGGCAGCATCCCCCAGGGGCTCTACTGCTGCCCAGCTGAGCTCCGGGGTCGGGGGGCCCCGCCCTGAGGGGCTCTTGACTGGAGCTAGCGGGAGCGGCCCGCCGCCAGCCGGGACACCCGGAGGGCCCTTGGATGCGTGTGCACCAGACGTGCGTGTGCTGCGGCTGGAGGGACCCGGCCGTGCCTCAGTCTAGTGCTTTGCTGATCATGTAGAGTCATAGTGACCGGGAGAGTGTCAGTTCTGAGGTCGCCCCCGGTCCTGGGTCGAGGACGAGGCTGTGAGATACAAGCAGGTGCCTGGGGGAGCCCAGCAGGGGGCCTGGCTGGGGTGGGGCAGCCTCCTTAAGAAGTTTAAGGAGAGACCTGAAGGAGCAGTGGGGTTAACAGGTGACTAAGTCAGGCGGGGAGGGAGAGTGAGGGGAGGGTGCCCCGGGCCGGGGGGGGGGGGGGGGGGGGGGGGGGGGGGGGGGGGGGGGGGGGGGGGGGGGGGGGGGGGGGGGGGGGGGGGGGGGGGGGGGGGGGGGGGGGGGGGGGGGGGGGGGGGGGGGGGGGGGGGGGGGGGGGGGGGGGGGGGGGGGGGGGCTGTGCTCCAGGCAGTCGGTCTTCCGCTCAGGGTGCCGGCTGCCTGGAGGCGGTGACCTGGGGCTGGGACACACACAGGCCCTCTGCCTTCCCACTGGGGTCACAGGTGAGAGGGGCTGCGGCCCGCTGCCTTGTGCTTGGCGCTCTGCTGTCACTCACGGCACGCTCAACCTAGCCTCGTGTCTGGCACCTGGCGTCCCCGTCCCCTCCGACCGGTGGCGCCTTGATTTTCTCCTGCTGCACTCGCAGGGCTCAGAGGGCCTTGGCCAGGCCGCTTCTCGGGACGCAGCCAGGAGGGAGGGACTGACTCGGGAGGAGCCAGCCGTACTGGGGAAGTGAGATACCCAGGCAGGCCCCCGTGACCTGGTCAGGCTGCGTGGCCTCCCCGTGGGGCCTGCTGGCACCTTGTCCAATGGCCTGTCCGCCCTGGGTGAGGGTCAGCACCCCTTCCCCAGGGGCCTCGGTTCAGATGGAGAATGGCCTGTGCCGGGAAACTATCCTGTGTCTTCTGACCGGGCGGCTGAGGTCCTGTGCCTTTTCTCTCCAGGGCCTGAGTCGAGATTCTGCCAAAAGACTGCGTTTTCTGCCAGGGGTTGTCTACGTGGATGGTGCGTTTGGCCACCCTTCCCCTCCCCCGCTGCTTAGGATGAGCCCCGCTCAGCTGGTACTGTGACCTTAGCGAGGCCCTGTTGGGGGCAGGCTTTGGAGACCGCGCATGTGTCCAGCCAGAAAGGCACACAAGGTGGTCGTCTGGTCCCAGGCCTGGCCTTTATCAGCTTTATCAGAGTCAGGCCGGAGGGACCCTGAGGGGACCGGGCCAGTTTGCTTCCCCGGGGCCCAGTCGCTCACCTGTCCCCTGCCTCACTCCCTTGTGATAAGCCCCTAGTGGGTCTCTGGCACTGCGGTCCATCATGCCTCCCTCCCCACACCCCCCTGCGCCGTGACGGAGAACCCCCTGCCCACTCTGAAAGTGCTTCCCTGGGAGAACGGGTTAGCGCCCTGTCCTTTCCACAGAGAAGCCGCGGGGCATTTCCCACGCGGCGTTGGCCCTGGCCCATTTGGGCTCTTCTGTAGCCATGACCCTGCTCTGCCTGCCTTCTTCAGAGGGAGCGGCCTGTGGGCAGAGCCCGGACGACAGGGCACAAACCGTGGCAGAGATGAAGCTGCTCCTGCAGACCGTGGGCTTCCCGTGGCATGTGGTCGCCTTAGAGGAGGTGGGCGGGCCTGTCTCTCTCTGATAAAGGGCCCTGGAGGGCAGGCCTATGAGGGTTATGGACGGGGCCCAGTCCACGGGGGGTGGGGGGACGGGGGAGCGGAGGGGGGCTTTTCTGACGCCGTCCCCCCTCCCCCACAGGTGTTCGGTTTGCCGCCGTCAGTGCTGCGCTGCTTTGCCCAGGAGCCGGTGGGCGCTGCGGGGACCTACAAGGCGGCTGTGGATAGTTTCCTCCAGCAGCAGCACACGCTGGGGACTGAGACGGCTGGGGGCAGCCCCGGCCCAGCGCAGGGGGAGGAGCGGCAGAGCCAGCCCTGCCCCCAGGGCCCAGCGGGGCCGCCGCCAGCTGCCCAGACTGAGGCTCTGTCCCGGCTGTTTGGCTCCGTGAAGACGTTGACGGCCAAAGAGGAGCTTCTGCACACCCTGCGGTGAGCCCCCCGCCCCCCACCCCCCACCAGGGTCTTGGCCCTGCTTCACCTGGACCCTGAGACCCTGTGCTCTCCAGGACCCACCTGATCCTGCATGTGGCCCGGACCCATGGCTACTCCAAGGTGATGACTGGAGACAGCTGTACCCGCTTGGCCATCAAGCTCATGACCAGCCTGGCCCTGGGGAGAGGGGCTTTTCTCGCCTGGGACACGGTACATGGGTGCAGGCCTTTAAGGGACCCTGCTGGCTGTGGTGTCGTGAGTCGGCCCAGGGTCTCCCTTGTGGAGCAGGGAAGGACTGTGAGCCCGTCTGCTGGGGGTGGTGAAGAACGTGCCCCTCGCCCCACGCAGGGCTTCTCGGATGAGCGGCACGGGGACGTGGTGGTGGTGCGGCCCATGCGCGACCACACGTTGAAGGAGGTCGCTTTCTACAACCGCCTGTTTGCCGTTCCCTCTGTCTTCACCCCAGCCATCGACACCAAGGTGAGCTGCGGGACCTGGGCAGGCACCACCCGCCCCCCACCCCCACCCCCGGCATGGGGTCAGAGGCTGCTGGCATAGCCTCAGTGGCCTGAGCTGTGTCCACACCAGCTCTCTGACCTCGGTGTCAACGGCGTGCCCAGTCCTGGGAGCAGACGCGGGGCATTTTCCCGCCGTGCAGAGGTGGCTGCTGTCCTCAAGGAAGAGGGGGTTGGCAGGCGCGTAGCCAGTGTCCGGGTGCCCATGTCTCTAGGAAGGGCTCCCAGGTAGTGGAGGAGGGGCAGGGTGAATCGTGTCAGAGAACTCTGGTCACAGAATTTGTAAGAGCCACGGTGTTTAGCAACCGGGGCACGTGGGAAGTGGGTGCTCTGGCTCATTCCCGCCGCGACACGGCGCTCATAGGGGCTGACGGTGTGAAGCTGTGGCCCCTTGGCCAGGCCTGGGGTGCTACTCTCGCAGCCCTCCATCTGCCCGTCCCCAGGCCCCTGAGAAGGCCAGCATCCACCGGCTGATGGAGAGCTTCCTGCTGCGGCTGCAGGCGCAGTTCCCGTCTACGGTCAGCACCGTGTACAGGTGTGTGTGTGTGTGTACATGTGCACGAATGCCCATGCCGGGGTACTGGTGGGAGTGAAGCCCCAGCCTGACGGCGCCTTGTGCTCTGTCTCCCACGCCCTCAGGACAAGTGAGAAGCTGGTGAAGGCCCCCCGCGACGGCTGTGCCGCCGGCCCCCGCTGCCTGCTCTGTCTGTGCACGCTGGACGTCGACGCTTCCGGTCTGTGTGGAGGGGGTGGGGTGCCGGCAAGCGAGAGCTGGGGTCCAGCGCCCAGAGGATCCTCAGCTTGTCTCTGCCTACAGATAGTGCCACGGCTTTTGGGGCTCAGACCTCGGATTTCTCCCAGACGCATCCCCCCACCCCTGGGGCTGAGGCTGGGACACCCACAGAGGTGGGCAGTGCCCAGGTCTGCTGCCAGGGGGCTGGGCCCAGCAGGAGGTAAGGCCCGCCCCACACAGCTGTCCGGGCGGGTGTGGTACCCCCAGGGCCCAAGCGAGGTGCTCAGGCGCAGCTCTGCTCCCGCAGGGAGGACTCCCGAGCCTGGGTCATGGAGCAGCTGTGCTACGGCTGCCGTGTGAACATGAAGGATGTGGTGAGTGGTTCCCGTCCTCGGGTGGGGACAGGGGAGGCCTACCCCCGGGCTTTGCGCCTTGCGGCCTCTCACCCCCGGCGGTTCTCTGTCGCAGCCCTCCTTGGAGCCCCTGCCCCCTTACATCTTGGCCGAGGCCCAGTTCCGCAGCCGAAGGTACCGTCTGGGCGCACAGTTGGGGGTGCCCCGGGGTTGGGGGGCGTCCTTCTGGGCCTGGTGCAGGCTCCCAGCGTGCGGCTTCCCCCAGGGCCTCGCAGGACATCCAGGAGTGCCTGGTGGAGGGCAGTGAGGAGGAGGCGCACACCGCTGAGAGCTGAGCCTGGGGCCGCCCGGAGCAGAACGACGCGGATGGGCCGGGGGCACGGAGTCGTATAAATAAAAATACTTTTAATTAGAAAACCCTACAGTACTGGTGGGGAAGGGAAGGCCGGCCGCGCAGGGCGTTCGGGGACGAAGAAACGGGCAGCGGGCCTGCGCCGGGCGGGGGAGGGGCCCCAGCTTCCTTCCTTCCCGCAGCAGCATCGGGGCCCGGCGGCGTGCCGGGCGGCGCCTACTCCTTCTCGCGGGTCCACTTGATCATGGTCTCGGGCGAGCGGTACAGGAAGATGAGCTTGGCGTACAGCTCCTCCTCCAGCTCCAGCTCCCGCGTCTCCCGCACCAGGAAGATGTCCTGGCAGAGCTTGAGGATGCGGTCCACGCACGGCAGCTCCTCAAACATGATGGAGTGGGAGATCTCACTGAAGAAGCCGCGCACGAACTTGCCGATGACCAGCACGATGGACACGTAGAGCCCCATGACCCTGCCGGCAGGGGTGCGTGGGTGAGTGCCTAGGACGCTGCCGAGGCCGCGGCCACCCGCCCCCCCGGCGCCCAGCGCACTCACCCGTAGCCGGCCAGGAAGCCGAGGCTGGGCGGGCTGACCTTGTCGCTGAAGATGACCATGGGCAGCAGGTTGCACCGGGCTTGGCAGTCCTGCAGCTCTATGACCCACCACTCGAGGAAGCCGGCGGCCCCCGAGCCCACGCGCTCCCTCCGCAGCTGGACGCGCACGCCAAGGTAGTCGGCCTCTTCGTCTGGGGCAGAGCCGGCGCCAGTCAGGGCCCCCACCCTCCCCCAGGGCGCGGCCACCCCTCCAGGCTCACACACACTCACTGGGCTGCAGCTGCTTCACGGGGTTCGCTTCAGGCCCATTGGGGGCACGGATGTACTTGGGGAAGAGGTTGGGGATGACCCTGCAGGGAGAAAGAAGGCCGGGGAGTCAGGCCTGACCCCAGCCCCCGGGTCTCCCCACCCTACACCATTCACGTTGCCTGGTCCGGGGTGCCGTCCAGCAGGACCCCCCTCCCCCGCCGGCACTCACACTGACTGGTCGGAGGTGCCCTCCAGTAGGCTGGCCAGCTGCCTCCGCTCACTGCTGTTGGCAGCCAGGTCGAGGGTGTGCTTCTCGTTGGTGTACTCCACAGTGCCACCCTTGGCCAGATCCCTGTGGGCCAGGGTGGGGGGGTGAGCCACTGCGGGCCCCACCCCCACCCAGGTCCCGCCCGAGCCCGGCCCGCACCTCTGGAAGTTCCAGGTGAAGCGCAGGGTGATGGCAGCCGTGCCGTTGTACAGCTCCCGCTTCATCTGGGCCCGGCTGGGCGGGCTGATGCGCCACAGCGCCCCGGAGCTGCCCTCGATCTGTGCCGTGACGATGTCCTCGGGGCTATACTGGCTGATGAACTGCATGGCCAGCTGGGCCCAGGGCGGCACTGCGGTGAGGACCGGCCCCCGCACCCTGCCCCCCCCGCCCCTGCCCCCGCAGTTGCAGTGCGGGCCCACTCACCGGGTTCGGGTCAAACTGTCTGGACAGGTCGTCGTAGGCCTGCTGCGTGAAGGGCACGATGGACGGCTGCTGGGCACTCATGGTGAACAGGGGCTGCGGGGGGACAGTGTGAGGCTGCAGGGGCCCTCGACCCCCGGCTGCCGGTGCTGCACAGAACTCTGAGGATGAGGGAGGTGGGCGAGCTGACACAGACTGGCGGCTCACCTCGTAGCCACCCAGCTTGAGGGTGACGGTGACATCGATAGGCTGGTTGACGACGCCGACCACGGAGCGCACCAGGGACATGAAGAGCAGCGGGAACCAGATGATGGCCACGAGGAAGAGGATGATGAGGCCGCCCATGCCGTACTTGACGATCTTCTTCTTCTTCTGCCCCTTGGGCTGCGGGTATTTCTGGGGGGTGGGGCAGGGGTCAGGGGCTCAGCTCTGCCCTCCCCGGCCCCTGCTGCTCCGGGAGCCGTCCTCATGCTGCACAGCCTGGGAAAGTCAGAGCTGCCCGGGGGCCGCCCTCCCGCACTTAGCGAGGCCTCCACGCCCGGAGACCGGCGGAGTAGAGCCGAGAACCCAGAAAGCCCCTTGCGCCGAGTGAGGAAAGGACAGGCTCCCAGCAGGTGTGCTGGGACACATGCACATTGCGTGCCACAGCGGCGGGACCGCTCCCTGAGGCCGCGGTCAGGGAGACTCCCAGGGGCAAAGCCTCATTCCTGGGATCTGGTGAGAAAGCCTCGCATCTCACACAGGCACCAGCAGCGACGGGAAACCGGACGTTAGAGAAAGATCTGTGTGTCGGGGCGGGTGGGCTGAGAGCGCAGAGCCCAGAGCGTGGGAGGCTGTGGGGCAGATCCTGCCTGAGCGGGTCTAGCGCCCAGAAGAGGAGTTCTCGTAAGTCCACGGACAACCAGGGACGAAAGAGGCAGAGCACACGGCCGCCAGCACAGGAGAAGATTCTGGCCGTCGTGAGCCGCCAGGGAAACCAGAACAGAAACCGTGCTAAGCCGCCGCCTCCTAGGCACAAGCGCTGGAGAGCACGAAGAGGAACCCCAGGCTGCGGGGAGGGCAGGGACGGGGTGCTGTGGGGACTGCGCGCTGCGTGAGGCGGGGAGGGGAACACTGGGCGGCCGAGGTCCCGCATGCGAGGCAGTGCGCGCCGCGACAAGCAAAACAGAAACCCAGCCTCCGTCGCGGTTGGGAACAGTGGGGTGAGGAAGGTGGCTCGGCGCGCGATGCAGTGCTGCTCCAAATCCCCAGATTCTGACATGGGCTTCACGGACGAGCCTAAAACCCCGCAGAATGAAAGCGGCCAGACCCCGGCCACAGGGCACGCGACCACACGTGCAGGAGCCTTCGGGACCAGGCAAATCCCTGCAGAGAGTGGGCGGGGATGCCCGGGCAGAGGGGAATGGGGACGGGTTCTTGCTAGAGCGCCGAGCAGGGCTGAGACCTGGTGGGGCAGCGGCGCAGCTCTGTGACCGTGCTACACGTCTCTGAATTGTACACGTGGACGGGGTGGGTTCTGTGCCCGTCACCCCCCCCCCCCCCAGTAAAGCTGCTAACAGACACTCGGCTGACACTTTGTGTCCCACCCCGTCTCCCACCCCTCGTGCCCATGACCAGAGAAGCCAGCTGCCTGTCCCGAACAGGGTCAAGTTCACTGTCCCCTCTAAGAACCACCTCCTAGCCTCATATGGTTGTGGGCTGGCGGCCCTCAGGTGAGGGGTGGGGAGCCACCTGCACTGCCTAGTTCTCGTGTGCCCCATCGGCCCCAGGGGGGAGCGACCAGTGTCCCTCACTACCCGCCTTAGGCCCAGGCACCTTCTCAGTCTCTCGGCTGCACTTGATGATGAAGATGTTGGCGTAGATGTCCTCCACACACATCCAGCTGGACAGCGACAGCGTCGTGTCCGTCCACACCCAGTCCATCACGGCCCGCAGCTCTACCAGAAATGGCACGAGCCGGAACCTGCCGGGGGCGGGCGCTGTCAGGACAGCCTGTGGGAGACAGCCTGGCTCCCCGCACGCGGGGCCCGCCCGCACTCACCCCTGGAAGAGGAAGAGGTTGAGGTGGTTGTACTTCTTGGTGAGAAAGTTGCCCAGGATGCGGGTGGGGTAGCCGCAGCGGATCTGGTAGGCGGACAGGGCAAAGTAGATGCACTTCACGAAGTACCACAGTTGGGCCACCGCGTTCTGGCTGAACATCCTGCGGGGAACGGGAGGGCTGGTCAGGCGGCCTGCCTGGGCCACAGCCCCGAGGTCCCCTGGCCCGGCCGCACGCCCACCTCTCGGTGACCGCAGGCAGGATGAAGAACATCCACACGTGGATGGCCAGCACCAGCGCCACCTGGAAGGCCAGCTTGCCCAGCACGGTCTTGCGGAGGTAGAGGGCGCGGTCGACGACCATCGTGCTGAACTGTATGAGCAGCATGACCAGGAAGGCCTCGGGCACCTGGTCGTCCGACAGCGAGGACGTGATGTCTGTGGCTGCAGAGTGTTTCTGTGTTGGGAGAGCAGAGGTCAGGGGGTGGCTGCGGGTGGGCGGGCAGGGGGTGCCGCCAGGCTCTGTGCTCACCCCAAAGGCCCAGAAGCCAAAGATGATGATGATGAAGTCGACCACGTCGGCCAGAAACATGAGAGCGTAGACGTCGGTGGCCGCGCGGTACTGGGTGTGCAGGATGTCGTGGAAGAAGCGCTGCAGGGGCCGGTACACGCTCTGGGCCCTGCGGGGGCGGGCGGCGGGCTCAGTGCACCTGCCCTGGTGGCTCCTGCCGCCCCCCCGCCCCCCGGCCTGCCTGGGGCGGCGCAGTCACTCACAGGGCCAGGCAGCAGCTCTGCAGTTGGAGCCCCAAGGCTCTCACCCTTTCCCTTGGGCGACTCCACCGCTCGTTCCCCGAGGCCGCCACGCCTTCTGTGGGGAGCAGCCACTGCTGACGGGAGGAGGGGGCACGGCCCTGGGCGCCCAGCTCAGGCTCCAGACCACCCCAAGACCACCCCTGAGGAGGCTGGATCACCCCACTTTTTGGACCAGCAGGCTGGACCACAGGGCCGGCCGGGGCTTCATCACCTGCCCCACGGGGTGTGCCGGGAATGCGGCCGGGGCAGCGGCTCCAGGCGGGACCCTGGCGGGCCGCGGGTGGCTGTAGAGGGACGGGGCCATCGTACCAACAGCTGCGGGTTCTACGCGCTCTGTGCTCTCTTTTCTCCTCTTCCTAAAACGCAGGCTGATCCGCCTCGTGTCCCGGGGCTTGAGCTCCAGGGGAGGCTGGGGGGACCCGTCCCCTGCTCCCGCCTGCATGTGGTCCTGGGTGAGCGCCCCGGCCATCACCGGCTCCCCCTGGGGTCCCAGGGCTGCTGGCTGCTCCTCAGCCCCCTTCTTCTGACGGCCTCGGTCGTGGTCCTTAGAGAGAGGGTCCTCTTCGTGGTCCCAGAGGCCGTAGCACTGCAGAGGGAGGGAGGGAGGGAGGGGGGAGGAGGCTGGCGTGGCCACACCCTGGGACGCACAACACCTGGGCTTGCCTCTTGGGGGCGACTGGCAGGTGGGCTGTGTGCAGGGAGGTGCTGCCTGCTCCCCCGGCCGGGGGGA